ATGCTAAGGTCCGCGAGTGATGTGACGTCATGCGCCAGCAACACGCAGTGCAGTGGCACGTGCCGTTTTCAAAATGGAGCGAAAGGATCAGCCATCTGGAGCTTTTTTACTTTACCTCACCCAACACATCCAATGGCTACGTGCAATACATGCGCAGTGATTGTTCCAAGGGGCGGAAGTAAAGCTTCAAGCTACAACACAACCAACTTAATCAAGCATCTCCAGCGATTTCACCCAAAAGAGCACGCGGAGTTTGTTGAACGGAGTCAACAAGAGACGGCATGAAGCAACTGACTTTGAAGGAGATGAAGGAAAGAGGTGAAAAGTTCCACCTAATAGTGTGCAGGCAACAAAAATCACAGAGTGGATACTAAACTTTATTGTCATGGATGGACAGCCGCTCTCAGTTGTTGGAGATAAAGGATTCCAGCTGCTAATTAACCAGCTAGAGCCGCGCTACGAGATGGTGAGCAGAAAGTATTTGTCAGAAATGGCTCTACCTGAACTGCACGGTAAAGTGTGCAAATGCATATTAAGAGGAGATAAAAGATGTTAAAGCCATGAGTTTCACGACAGACATCTGGAGCTCTGATGTCTCCCCCGTGTCACTTTTAAATTTAACAGCACACTGGCTGGATGAGAGTTTTGTGCCACACAGCGCAATGTTRAACGCAACAAACTTTCGTGGGTCACACATCAGCGAAGCGATAGCAGCTAGCCTGAAGGAAATGTTTGACAAGTGGCAAATTCYGKTGAGCAAAATTCACGTGATTGTGAGGGACAATGCCAGCAACATGAGAAAGGCGATGGACAACATGGGGGTGCGTAGTGTCTGCTGTGTTGCACATACAATGCAGCTAGTAGTCAACGAGGGTCTTCTGTCTCAGCGTGCAGTGAGTGACGCGGTTGCATGTGCGAGGCAGGTTATCGGACACTTTAAACATTCTCCTCTAGCATACTCACGASTGCAAGATATCCAGCTGGAGATGAACATGCAACTGAAACGCCTGCAGGATGTTAAAACGAGGTGGAATAGTACATATTACATGGTACAGAGCCTGACTGAACAGAAACGAGCACTGTCTGCTTATTCTGCTGACCATGAGCTGCCCTCAGTACCCACAGCAAACCAGTGGGGCTTGTTTGAGAAAATAATGACCTGTCTTGAACCGTCCGAGGAGTTTACAAGGCAGGTGAGCACAGCCACAGCCTCCACTGCTGATGTTATCCCAAGTGTCACCGTTATCAAACGCCTCCTGTCTATGGAAACTGAGGCTGACGCTGGAATTAAAACCATGAAAAAGACACTCCTAGCAGCTGTGGAGAAGCGCTTCAGCACTGTGGAAGAGGACCCTCTGTATGCACTTTCTACACTGCTGGACCCACGATACAAGGACAGGTGAGACATACAATACAGGATTTGGTCAATAAATTAACATTTTAGTGAAACATTTTAATGTTTTTATAAGATTTTTTTATATTACTGTACACACTGTTTAATTTAATTTCATTCATAATAACAACAAAGTCAATTAAAAAACTAAGTAAAAGCGAATTAAAAATGCATAGAAAGACTGAAAGAAATTGTATATCTGCCCCTTTAGATGCACTTATTCTTGAAATTTTAAAGATAAGTGCACATCTGACTTTTTTGTTTCAATATTAATT